TAAATTCCTCAATTGGTTCTTTCAAGTCTACTACCACCACTACTAGGTCATCTCTTTCTTGCTCAATGATAACAACTCTCTCAGTCAAGGTTTCATTTTCTTTACTTGCACACTCAATGGTTTCTTTTAAGTCCACCACAACCACCATTACATCATCTCATTCATGTACTATACTAACAATTTTCTCTTCTAAGGCATTCTTTTCTCTTTTCAGGTTCTCTATTATTTCTTTCAAATCAACTACAACAACTACTAAGTCATCTCTGGTTTGTTCAGCTTCCCCTAGTTCCATAGTTAAAGCATCTTTATCATTGATAAGACTATGGTAAGCATCAATTAGCACATTTGCTAATGACATGAGCTTTTTAGAAGAGTAAGATTTCAGATTTTTTTGAACATCCAAAAAGTTGACCTCATCGTCGTCGCCATCTTCATTGTCATCAGATTGAGCCATTAGAGCAAAGATTGAATCATACTCAGTTGTTTCATTTTCCGCTGCCATCATTGAACTACCACCATGGTCGTCTTCTTTTTCAGATTAGCTGGAAGAGTCTCCTCATGCAGCAAGAGCTTGCTTTACAACGTTGTCAGTATCATTCTTCCTCTTGAGGAGTTTGTCAGGAACCTAGTTCCTCTTGGCTGCTTTGTCAAAGTTGTTATTATATTGATCTTGATTTAGGAGGGGGCAATCCTTGATGAAGTGTCCTGGCTTTCCACATTTATGACAAAGGTCATAATTTCTAGGCTTGCTAGAGCTTCCCCTTTTTGGAATGCCTCCATTCTTGTGAACTATCTTCTGGAACCTTTTTATCAAGTAAGCCATGTCCCTGTCTTCACCACTTGAGTCATTGCTATCCGTCTTGAGGACTAGGTTTTTCTCCTTCTTGGTCTCTCTTCTTTCATTGTCCTTCTTCTTCTTCTTCTTCTTCTTCTTCTTCTTCTTCTTCTTCTTCTTCTTCTTCTTCTTCTTCTTCTTCTTCTTCTTCAATAGGTTTTCAAGTTCCCAACAAGTTCATCCATGGTCAGTGTCTGCAAGTCCTTAGCCTCTGTAATGGCATTAACTTTGCTTTCCCATGAACTGGGCAGTACACTAAGGATTTTTCTGACAAGCTTGTTTCTTGAAATACTTTCACCAAGAGAGTCAAGGTCATTGATGATGGAGGTAAATAGAGTATGCATATCTTGGATGAATTCATCATCTTTCATTCTGAAGAGCTCATATTCTGTTGTGAGCATATCAATCTTGGATTGCTTCATCTGAGTTGTTCCCTCGTGAGCTGTCTGAAGAGCCTCCCATATCTCTTTTGCTGATTGACAAGCCGATATCTATTATATTCATCAAGGCCAATACCACACACAAGAATTTTCTTTGCTCGAAAATTCTTTTTTATGACCTTTCTATCAGTGTCATTGAATTCTTTCTTCGTCTTGGGAATGGCTATAGCTGGATCGCCAAGGTTCTTTGTAGGGACAAAAGGCCCGTCACATATTACATCCCATAACTCAGAGTCTTCAACCATGATGAATTCATGCATCCTAGTTTTCCACCATCCATAATATTGACCGTTGAACCTAGGAGGTCTGTACGTAGACTGGCCTTTTTTAAAGTTTGGAGGAGCAGCCATGGGGATACTTTCTAGGTGTTAACCTGATAGAAAGAACCTGCTCTGATATCAAATGATAGAACATATGGGTCCGCCAACTTCTATAGAGAATCAAGTTCTCCATCAGGTTCGACAATACACACACACAAAGCAGAAATTAAATGACATGAGGAATTTTATGTGGAAAATTTCCAACTCAACGGGATTAAAAATCACGACCTACCCTTGTAGGATTTCAACTTTACTATTGATCAACTTTCAGATTACAACCTATGCAACCTAGGAATTAAACTCTTAATCCCTCACTAACTTGTAACATGCCTATTACAAGCCACTTTGCAATAACTCTATTACAAAGATTTTGAAACTTAACTAACTCTAGCCAAGACTTTTTTTTTAATTGTAATCACTTTTCCATATATATAACATAAGGTACAACAAGGGAGGGGGGAATAAACTTGACCTCCAAACATATGATGAAAGAACACTTGGTTGTCCACACTTGACAACCAAATGGATCCTGAATGCTATGATAGGTTAGACCTATAATGATTACCCGTAAATGATAGATAATTGGATATCCAAAAACAAGCTGAAGTAAGCCTAGGTCAATTATACAAAATTGCACAAGTGATCCTAAATCTACCAAAGTATTAAAATGGATTATCATCTTCCATGTACAAATAATTCTACATCTAATAATAGTGTAGAAATTCCCTATTGATTGAGGCAAAAAACAAGTGAAAATGGAGGGGTCTATCTTCAACTCTACTTTGACATTGAAGAAAGCTAGGTTGATGATAGTTATCAAAAAGACCCAGAGAACTGGGTTGAGTAGTTGTTGCTTGTTACTGTTGACAAAAGGGAATGAGCATTGTCTTGCTTCATTTGTCCAGTAGAGCTTTTGGCCCGGAACTAATTTCTGATTGCTGGAAAAATTGTTGCCATGAGTATGCTTTTGTTGCTAAAAGCATATAGATGAAGAAGGCAAAGTGACTAGGTCTGAGTCCCTAGAAATTTCTTGCTTTGGACTTGAATGGTTGGCAGGTTGTTGTGAGTGTTGTTGTTGCTGCATGAGACTAGGAGAAAGGTTTACAAGGGTTTCCTACAGAATGCTTCTAAACAAGCTAGATAGGAATTACCATTTTGAAGAATTATTACAAAGTCACAACTCAACTAAGGATACACAATAACTCGATATGGGAACTAGTCCGTAGTTGCTTTGTTCTTTGTTTTTGAGGCACTTGAAACTCGCTAGCTGAATAGTCACGTGGGTGAGCTTGAGAGAGATCTCTAAGTGTTCAAGTTGCTTTATTTTACCTCCCTTGAATGCATATATACATGTGCAATAATGCAAGCAAGGTAGGTAAAAAGTCTTCCCGGAAAAGTTAACTCCAGTACTGTTCCTGCACTGTAGCGTGTGCAGACAGCAACTTTCCAACTGGAAAGTTGACTTCGTACAGTCTCATCGGGAACTGGTAGGCACCTGGTCCCTCAGCTGTTCCTTCCATTTCTGAAGAGTTGAATCATATTCCACGTTGAATCCCAACCTAGGACCTTGTGATCTTGAGGTCTTGTAAATGTGTAACAGATTCCTTATCTGGTGTCTGGATTGTAAATTTGTTAGATCATCAAAACATAAAGTAAAGTACTTATAACCAAAGTACTTGTAACCTATCATCTTTCTATCTTTTCCCCCTCTTTAATTTTCCTTTTCCAACCTTTTTCTTCTTTTGTTTGTTTGACAATGACTTTAAAAAGGGAACATATAAAAAAAACATAAAATTATCAAAGTACCATAATCAAAAACCATGGCTCTTAATTCAAAATTCTGCACTTATATAAATAAAAAGTTTACAGGATTATTCTTTTTAAAATTTTGTTAGCTGGTATATTTTATATAAAACGTGCAAGTGTCCTATTGCTTGCAAGGTATAATTTCTTTCTGAAAAACATTGTTTTGCTTGTGCTCCTATAAAATTAGTGCGAAGCAAAAAAATTTAATAAAAAGGGCTTCATTCTTTATTAAACGAAGATTGCTAATTTTTACTAGTGCTGATTTATTTTTTATAAGTTTGAGTTGATTTTTCTATTGAAAATATCGATAAATTTATTAAATCGGCCTGAATGAACTCAAAATAGATCGAACCGAATTGAATCCAACCTATATATACTCACACTCAAACTTTATGGTCAATGTGAGGTATACATTAAAAGAAATGTGGCATCCGCTATATTCAAATCTTGGATCCGCCTCTGCAAACTCGTGCCACCTGTTAAATGATATGACACACCAAGTCAAATGAAAGAGACAATTGGATCAGGTCATACGTCAAAATAACATGGCATGCCAAGTCAAATAAAAAAGCCTACAAAATTGTGTCACGTCTACAAGTGACATTTTATACCAATCAAATATGATTTTGTCATGCTTCAACCTGATTGGTCGGAAAGAGTTTGTTCTTATCGCCATTCTTGTCTCCCATAACTATAAATAGGAGTTTTCATAACTCAGAAAAGGGATCACAATTCATAACAAGAAACAAGAGGGAACTCATGGATCAAACGCTGCAGATTTTTCTAGAAGCTACAAGTATTCAAGCGTTCTAAGGATTAGAAGATCAAGACGAAGGTTCAAGAACAAGTTTCAAGCTCTTGGATCAAAATACATAAATATGAGATCAAGCTGCAATTCCTTGGATTAAAACACGTCACAATCAAATCAAACTTCAAACACTTGGATTAAAATAATATAAAATTCAAGATCAAATTCAAAGACCCTTGAATCTAATTTTAGAAAAGAAAATCAGAGGTTCATAGTTTGATAAATAAGGAATTAAGATTCTAGTATTGAGTATAGCGGCAAAGAGGTTCAAAAGTTTCTTCTAGCACTAGGTGTGTAATATCAGTGCATATATGTTGAGCGTTTTTTTTTACATAGAAACATGTTCAAGGTAATCAAAGTGACACGAGAATAATAGCCACAACATATAGGCAATATAACACTAATATGTTCTTTTGTAATTGCAAAAATAGCATGTTAATAGGTCGAAATAAGTCGCTAAATTCTTCAAAGTTTATACCTTAACATAATCGTTCAGTACAACATTATTTGTTTTTCTCTTTTTCGTTTTCTTTTTTGTGCGCATTAATTCTAGATAATACGAGCTTTTGATTCCTCAGATGGATTTCAGGACCCTGCACAATGCACACTAATGCTTAAAATTGAAGCTCTAACGGTGGTGTCCTATCAATTTTATTACATATCGGAGAAATTCTATGGCAATTTCTCTATCTACCGGAGAACTCTTTCCACAAAATCTTAGACAGACAGGAAAAAATCACCTAATATTTTTTGTTTCTAGCACAGAACACTGTTTCATCCAAGTAGCATGATTAATCTGCAATTTACTTGGTTCATTTCCGTAAGTTACATGTTCCTGTTACGGCTGTCTTCCGGGACGCCACATTAGTTTTCACAACTAAGACAGCAATGGATATCAAAGGTATTTCACTCGTTGATTTATACAACAAGTCTGGTAAGATACACCTTGCAAGTTCTTAACGGATACAAAAATATGCTACATAACCACAACTATATGTCCTATTCATTGTTGATCTACCAGCCAACATAAATTGCCACCGCTATTTGATACTAGGAGCCACTATCAATCTTCCAACAGCCGCCCTGTGTTTTCACATGCAAGGAACTTGCCAATACAGCACGACTGGGCCACACCACTGCACTGTGCAGAGAAAATTTTGGTTTTGAAGGCTCGTGCTATCTAAGAACAGGAGAATCAGGCTGCTGGGGCACATCATTTGAGCTTGAATATCATGTATCTTTTGCTCAATCGATTGGGATATGCAGGATTTCTTGGGCTCGCTCCCCTTCCTGTTCAGTGCCTAATATATGCGACTCCATCAAGTTGGAACGCTATGACCCCCTCACATGTTTTGTCATTGCAGTTTTGAATTATGGCTATGGCAAGCAGAATTCCTGGGGCTATGTTCATGCTGAAAAGGGTCATCACTACAGTGGACAGAACTCAATCTTGGAGAAAAGTTCCAACCGCTAGCATGTTCCAGCTCATGATCAACTGTTCTCATATTGACCTCCTCTTTCAGCTTCATGAAGTACATCGATGACCAGTAATCCTTTGCTAAATTCTTTTTATGTCCACAAGAAAGACGATTGAATAAGAGTAGATGAAATAAAAGAGTAAGACAGGGAAGGAGGGATCGAAGGAGCAGAATTAACGTAATGCTCAGTACCATAGCAATCAAGCAAGTAGTAATAATTTAGAAGGTAAAAGACCAACCAGTTTCATCAGCTGCATCAGTTCACCTAGAGTATTTTTGAAGAGATCAGCGTGGGAGAGATCATTAGAACTCAAAATTTCCTGCCGAATTCTATGAGAAATGTTCACCTCCCTTGGTGCTCCTATAGGTGTTTAATGAGCAAATGCAAGTCAAAAAAGCATCAAATTTAAGCAGAAGCATAATTTCCAGAAACAGAACTAAGTACGAGAATCAAAGTGTATAGTTTACCACGAAAACCCTGAAGAGAAGATGAAATGACCATCAAAGTTGAATCATACAAGAATCGACCATACCTGCAGCTATATACTTCTCTATTATGTGGCGTGCCATGTAAATTCTCCTAACTGGATCTTGAATAGGAATTTTATCAAACTGTTGCACTTCATCATAGAAATGGACACTCTCCCCAGCCAAACAACTACAATGTGAACAATGTTTAAAAAATGGGTCCGTTACTGTGTGGAGGAGAAGTTTCAGCGCTCACAGGGTTGATTACCTGTCTGACAGAGCTTATCATTAGAAAAGATGATCTGATTTCGTCTGTGATTTTCTTTTACTTGTTTCCAAGAATGTCACAAACATTTTACTTTTTTTTAATAATCAATTATGTTAAATCAAGGACAAAAGACAGGACCATGCATCTTCTCTCTTTAATATGATAAGCTGATCCATGTACACAGCACAAAGATATGATGCTATTTTCGCAAAAGGAGAAAGAATAAAACCTGTCTGCAAATTCCATGAAGGACTGCCGGAACCTTCGGTTCAGCAGGAGCTTATCCAAAGGTTCATCTGGATCTATAATGCTTATCGGTTCCCTCTGTAGATGAATCCCACTATCATGTATGCCTAATGCCTGGCTCATTGTCTTGTACTCCTTATGATCCTTCTTCCTCAAGCTCATAAGTGAGATAAGAGGTTGAGAAATTGAGAAAGAGAAGAATGCCAGCACAAGGACACTTGTCTGTTGAAATAACAAGAGAAAGCTGTGGGCAATCCACAAATAATTCTGGCACCCACATATTATTAAAGTAGCACAAGATCAGGAAAATTGTACCATAACCAATAGCAAAAATCTAGAGGCAATTTCTAGCCATGATATATCCTCGCGAACTTCATTCATAACATAAGCAGCCACCCAAATTCCTTGAGACAGAAAACAGACAGTGATATCAGCAAAAAAAAAAAAAAATCTTGGGAAATGTCTAAGACGAAAAATCATTATTGATCTATTATGCTTTGAACTACAAGTGAATGTGGAAGCAGACATAGATGAAAGCCATAAAATATGTATTTGAATAAAGCATGATGTAACAAACACATGAATATTTAAACTAAAAAACAAGTTATGATATTACAGAGCTTACTTTTTATGGCTTCATATATTACTTAAAAAGAAAGAACTACAGAACCTTATAGCAATAATCTCTGAACTATTTAACGATAATCACGAACTTGAGGCCAATCAGATTCCTTTCCATAAGATTTAGTAACTGAGCACCATCACATGACAGAAGGGCAGAGTGGGCAAGCACCTCTGGACATCTACTGGGATATATGTAGCTAGAGACAATACCATGCTTCACGACGTTAGAATATTGTGAAAAATTATCTCCAACCTTTATACAAATGCTTCAGAAGTCCCATGCTCTAGTAGTGCTATCTTGGCACTTGTTGGGTGTTCAGTTCGAAGGCGATTAGTCAGGATCAGGCGTGCATAAGGCTAGAAAAGTGAGTAGTTCTTTGCAGCCAAGTTGACATCATCTGTAGCATCATCGTCTTTCTTTGCATCTTTTTTCAAAGTATGGAAAATACATTTTGCGTGGTACTATTAACAAAGAGGAAACTATGAAGCAACTGTATGATTGCATTTCAACTACCTAAAAACAAGTCCAGGAAGTTGAACATTCGCTGAATGTTGAAAGCAGTATCTAAGCATCCTTGCGTCGGATGCTATGCGCTATTCTAATCTGTAGTTTGAAAAAGCAAGTAAAACATTGCCATAATATATTGTTACTGGATGACTGTCATAAATGTCAGAGATGCAGTGATTGAAAATATTGAGAAATTGTAGGTGTGCATCTGAAGGGGAGCCTTGGCATAACTGGTAAAGTTGTTGCCATGTAACCAGGAGGTCACGGGTTCGAGCCGTGGAAACAGCCTCTTGCAAAAATGCACGGTAAGGCTGCATACGATACACCCTTGTGGTCCGGCCCTTCCCCGGACCCCGCGCATAGAGGGAGCTTAATGCACCGGGCTGCCCTTTGTAGGTGTGCATCTGGTCACATAGAACGGACAGTACATACATGTTTGTGAGCAAGATATCCAAGTCCAACAAAAAAATATCTCTTTATACGCCCCTGTTCCCTGTCCCAGTTTGGTCGCAATTTTTTCCTAATGAGGGTCAATTTGACCAACTTTCGTTGCTCTAATTTTTTTGAAACTAAAATTTCAACATTACAAAATTACAATAAACGTATAAGTTGCAATTTTCATCATAATGAAGAAAATATATTAAAAGAACAGTGTAGGGGGCATTGTTTGCTCTTGGAGTAAACAAAGTCTTGTCTATAAGCAAGAGATAACCTGCTTCCTTAGAACCAAGCCCAAGCCCCAAAGTCTTGTATTCAAAGCTATAACACAAAATTCGTGTGAATTTACATGACCGAGACATTTGCATCCAGAACTTTGGTTCACATCTACTTATAGCCTGTTTAGCCAAGCCAAGCTTCTGGGAAGTCAAAAGAACTTTTTAAAAAATTTAACATGTTTGGCCAAAAATAAAAAGTGCATGTGCGCAACAACATAAGTAGTTTTTCTGATGTCGCAAAGAAGCTACAAGTTTCTGCTTCTTTCGAGAAGCAGAAGCAAAAATTTGTTTTTTACAAGACAAAATATCCTTACCAAAATATTATATTCATTAAACTGTCTCTCATATAAGCAAAAATTTATTTTTTACAAGACAAAATATCCTTACCAAAAAATTATATTCATCAAACTATCTCTCATATAGCCCATATAGCTCTCAAATATAACCAGAACTCTCTTTTCCTCTTCCCTTTTTTTGGTTTAACTCTATTTATATTGAACAAAAGGTTTAATATATATTCTTATTTTATGTTTTTAATTTTGACTAAATAAAAAACTTAAATAAAAGTCTTTCGTAAAAAATATTTAAAATCATTTCTCTATTTAGATAATACTAACTGTAAAGTGGGTTTTAACCAAATGGTTCATAACCTCCCCTTTGTATTAAAAGAGGTATAAAGCGGCTAACAGTTAACAGACAGATCCTACAGTTGAAGCTTTTGTGGTCTCTGATTCCTACCTCTTATCTGAACCTTGTATATCAAGCTACAATTATTAACAAATCTTTTCTGAGATTTTAGATAAGATTTTATCTGTAACCAACTGGATATCCATGTTTTGGCTTATCACCAACTTGAGGGAAATGCATGAGAAGTAATGTAGATTGTTGTTTCAGTCAAGACGGTCAAATTCATGTAGACGACAGAAAGTCAGCCACTTTAACTAACAGTACACCAGAATTAGATACTTTCCTCCTGTGGTTTTTCCTTGACTGATATTACAAATACTTCATATAGCATTATGCTGGTGCTTCCAATTGGTGTAAGAATATCTTTACTCTTTAGATGCTTGGACCATATTGGGAAAGTGGTTATTCGAGACAACATAACTCAATTTAACTTCATTCCTCAATATGTTGTTTCAACTTTCACCTACCTGAGCACATGAAGTAAGACAAAAGAAGCATGCCAGGAAGAAAGCCAAAAAAAAAATGGATAGAAACAAACCAATGGAAGCTGCAGATACAAGAATTCCTCTCCAAAGGTCTTTGAGTTCATGAAATCTGAATTCCACATGACGCACAGCCCCAGTAAAAGCAATCAAAGCTACAACATATAATGCATGAAGGCCCATAACAGGGATGATCCACACAGTCCCCATGTGACATCGGTAATTTAGAGGCTTTCTTATATGAATAACTACATTAAAGAAACTCTGTATTAATCTCAAAAAGGCTTTCTTACATAAATAACTGTAGCAAATGAAGCTTATAATATCAATAGCAGGGATGTTAAGCGGATTGTCAACATTCAGTTTGAATGAGCTAAAATCAGCAAGTTCTCACTTGGTAATAAAAGTCAAAAAATTTGTTCATACACTTGCGCAAAGTTTTGGCATGACTCAATTGTAAGATAGATAACCAAATAGTAAAACACAAAATTAAATGCATAAAGTAATACAGCTGCGAAAGTGTAGGCAAAAGACAAGGCATACTTCCCATGTGATATCATAATCTATATTATATCCTTTTCAAATTCAAAGAGAGCTATGACCATCGCGGGTCTCATTATTAGAAGCAGACTAAATAAAGTCTTCTGTTTGAATTCATTGAAAGAGCTGCACGAATTGGTTGTTTGTTTCTCTTGATGATTGAATGGATTTTGATTTAACTTTATAAATTTATTGCATGCTTTGTATGTGTATAGGTTTCAGGTGTGAGTTTGGTAATGTGCACGATCGGCATGTTATATTACAATAACATAATTACAAAATATTTGAATATTTAGAATTGCAATAATTGCACATGTTCCATGCACCAAAGATATTATAGATGCCACTTTCCTTGCTTCTCGTGCAGATGCAATATAAGTATGTCAGAACCTTTAAAAAGCAAGCTTATGCTGCCATGAAGAGGTAAGAAATTGAATCTTGTGTTTAATTTATATTGGTATATAGTTAGCAAATTACTGATTTATATTTCTTGTGTTTTTGTTCTCATTGAATGGGATATGCATGTTATCACATGATACAAGAATTTAAACATGTGAATGATACCCTTAAGATTTACTTTGCCCTTTTCTTTTTCCTATCTTTCAATCTTAGATGTGTTAATGTTTAGTTAGTTACTAACCTTTTATGGGAACACTATTGTTGTAAACATGTATTTAATAAATAATAATAATAATAATAATAATAATAATAATAATAATAATAATAATAATAATACAATATTATTAATAGGAAATCAGAAAGAAAATAGAGATAGCGACGATGAGAGGGAGGTCATTAATGAAACTTGATTGTACTTGGAAAAGAACTGCAATTTGAAATAAAAATATGAACGAATATTAATAGGAATCAAATAGGCTCACTACGAGATGAGAGCTGAATCATTAAATAAAACTGACCTTTAGAACCTTAAAATTAGATTGGAAAAACATGCTAAACTGAGCCAAAAAATAAAATTATCCGAGTTTAGATAAGTTGATTGTTTGTATCTTTGAAGAATCGAGGTAAACAAATTTTTGTGTTAAATTTATTTGTTTCCAATATTAGGTCACACATACAACAACCTTCTTAAGATATTCCGAATAAAGTCCCAAGCAATCACAATAAGGTACCATGAGGACTTATGTGGACATGATTTCTTCCATTATTGAGTAAGCTAAAAAAGATTAACATACATGATTTTCAGGATCTACATTTTTTTCTTTAATTTTTGTTGTATAACTACATATTATTCAATAATATTTATGTGATTTTTTAAAATTGTTTATTCATTGATATAGGGTATACGCGCAAAGGGCATACCTTAAAACTAGAGTCTAGAAAAATATATCAATATTTCAAGAAAAGAAACTTTAAAGGAGACTTCTTTATAAAGTTCAACTTG